GTTGGGGCTTGGGGAGATAGCCTGCAGGGCACTGCTGCATGGGGATCCGAGAGCAGAGCCGCAGGCTCTGTGAGGCCTCTGGCGTTGGGCTACGGCTTCTTTTCAGTGGAGTAACACTGCTTCCTGCCCAGGATCGGAGGACAGGAACGCTGCCCTCGCCCTCCCTTTATAAATAAAGCAGCTAGTGCTTCTAGAAAGTGCTCTGCTCTGGGTTACCAGATTAGGGTTCTTGAAAGAATCACATGGCTAGGACGAGGCAGGACTCATCCCTATCGATAAGAGAATGCAGAGACTTGGAGACATGAAACGTCTGTCTGAGGCCACCCAGAAAAGTTGGATTTGGGTTTGGATCTCTTGATTCTCAGAGCTCTTCTACCACATGCAGATCCCAACTTCCCAGGGAATTGGGTCTGATTCAAAAAGGACGAGAGCAAGACAGCCTAGACGGGAGGGTTGGATGCTGAGGGCCCAGGGCTTGCCCTCCGGCTCGGGGTCAGGGTGGCTCCTACTGGGGAAGCTGGGTCCTTTGAAGAAAGATGGGTTGCTTCCTGTTGCAGCCTCCATACCCAAACCAGGACTGGGCCAGACAGAGGTTTGTGCAGATCCCAGGGAATCCCGCACTCTGGGCTGCAGGCTGAGGTGGCAAAGAGAACTGCTTCAAGGGTGACTGAATCACTTGGTCTAGATTTGGAGCAATCATCTTGTCAGGGAGGTGACACGAGCTGAGGGCAGTAGAGCAGCAGGGTCTGCCTCCTGGCTGGGTGCTTGGTTGGGGTGGACTGGGCACGTGGCTTCTCCTCCAGCCCTCAGTACACTTGGGAGGTGGGGACAGCATCCTAAGGGATTTCTGAGGCCCCATCTCAGGTTTTGGTCTTTGATCTTGAGATTTAGGGGGAAATACCCAAATACCCAATGGATGGAGTCTTTATCTTGAGCACTGGGTGTCTGGGGTCCAGTCAGGCCCTTGGCCATAAGTGAGGCCCTCTGTGCCATACCAACAGGAGGTCACTGTGGAGGATTCTGCTAAAAGGACTGGGAAGGAGGATGAAATGGGGGTGAAGAAAAGAAAGTGGTAGGGAATGCTCGTGGTGGGGTGTCAATTTCAGTAGGATGGTCAGAGAAGTGCTCACTGATAAGGCAAGGATCTGAAGAAAGACCCAAGAGAGCTGGAGAGCAGCCATGTGGATATTTGGGGCCAATCAGGCAACCAGTGCAAACAGCCCCGAGATGGGCCTGGAATGATCTAGCAGCATGAGGCCAATGCAGCCAGAGTGCAGTGAGTGAGTGGCGGGTATGTAAGATGGCAGACAGGAGTGGCCTGAGACATACCTGCTCTCGGTTACTCTATCTGTGAAATGGGGACAATTTCACCTGCCTATGGGATTTATTAAAAACTTTAAGCAAGATAATGCACAGGGAACATGTAATTCTTAGTCTCAGGCACCCAGCTCTGGCCTTCACTATCCTAAGAGCTCAGCCCTTCCTGTCTTCTCTCCTATGTGTCCCCAGCAAGTCCACTTAACCCTTCCAGGCATCTGGCCCCCTTTCTCTAGAGCCTGGGGTTATGATACCTGCTCCTGATCAGGGATGCTTTGGCCAGGTGAGGTCAGTGGTGGGGAGGGGCTTCTCCCTCCAGACAGAGGATCCATGGCTAACCTGGCCACTGGGCCAGGCTTCCTATAGCTTCCTCCTTGCTCCCCCTAGCCACTCCCCTAATCCTGCTTCCCACATGTGGTAATTAAGCTCACAACATCTAGAGTAAGCAAATAACAGCAAGGGCATTATCTCCCTTTAGTCTGTGTTTTTCCTTGCCTATCATAAAGTAATTAAAATAATGAAAGCCTTGTAAAACAATAGGTAAGCGGGCTGGTGAAATAGCGTTCCCTTTCTCATACCTCTTGTGCTGTGAATTATTGATGCATTAAAACCACTGTGGCTGGAGGGACTCCCTGCTTCCCAGCCTTGTTCCCACTGATTGCCCTCATTCCAGGGTCTGCCAGGTGGCTGTGGAGCCTGAGCCCCAGGGTTGAAGAGCATGGAGGCAGACATCCATCCAATCTGAATGAGACAGGTGGTCCTGTCTTTGAGTGAAGAAGGAGGCCAGCAAAGAGCGGGGGTCAAAGTCCATGCCCCATCTCAGAGAAGGGCAGTGTTCATCCTGCCCACCAGGAGGTCTGGAGTTACGGTATCAGTGGTATCAGTGGGGTTTCCAACAGCATCTGCATTCCATGGGGCCTCGGCCAAAATGCAGGTCAGGGGGGCCCAGCACTCTGAGCTTTAACAAGCCCTGTCTGTGCTTCTGTGCCCACTCAGGTTCGAGATCCAGTGCTTCACAGTGTCAGTAGCACCAGGAGAAGCAGGAGCGAGGTGGCAGGACCGACAGAGCACGCGTTAGTGCCATTGTGCGCTGCTTAATCCCAGCACCCAATGTGGGCAGATGGCCTTGTCTCCATCCTGCAGGAGTGGTCACACCCCTGGTGGGGGAGCTAGCTTTTCACTCTGCATCTAGGCCTTTGGTTATTGTGGGTACTCCTGGATCAGGCCCTCTGTCCCCTCTTGGAGAGCTGCTTGTTCAGTTTCACATGGCTGAGATTTGAGGGCTGGGTCAGGTTCTGGGACAGGCCACCAATACTGGGCCAGGAAGCTTAGGTAGCAGGTTCCACACATGTTGGCAGGTGACCGTCGAAAGTGTCTCCTCTTCACAGACCTCCCCCTCGCAGGCCTCATCTCAGCCTGCCCTAGCTCTGTGGGGCTTAACGCATGTAGAAACATGTTCGCATCTGCTGCCCTGAGGGCTGCTTCTCTTCCGCAGCTTCCCTGAGCCAAGGGTGGCCACGAGGAGAGAACCAGGCACCAGGACCAGCTTCCTGCCTGCTGTGGCCAAGTCCCCAAGAGGATGAGTCATCCAGTGCACCCTCGTCACCTGACCCCTGCGTGCCCACCCCCACTCACTGCAGACTACGACTTTCACCTTTGCCTTTGATCTCCCCCTTGTTCTAGGGCACGGTGATCTCCGTGGGTTTGCATCAGAAATCGATTCTTGAGTTTTAACTGATGAACGTAATTTTAACATCTTCATCTGTAGTAATAATCTCAGTGGGTATTCGAGCAGGGGTCCAGTTAGATTTAAATTTAAGGCAAATGACAAATAAGTTCTTAGAGTAAGTATGTTGCATGCAACATTTATTAGGTTGTTGGAAAAGTCGTGACGCATTTTTCTGTTTTTCTATGCAAAAATGATTCATGGCTTTTCTGGTGACCCCATAGTTGCTGCTTGTCTGAAATTCCAGTGTAATTAGGTGTACCATGCGTTATCTGCCGACCCTAACCCCAGTCTCTGTGGTGGGTGAAGGGCTGATGCTCATAACCCCTTTTAGTCATTCATTTACATTCATTAAGCCAACTTTTGCCAGACACTCTGTGGCAACCTGGGACCACAGCAGTGGGGAAGACCAGACAGTAAATGAAATAAGTAAATGAAATTATAGAGTGTATTAGAGGTTTTAAGTGCTATGGAGAAAAAGCAGAAAAGGGCTATTGGCAGGAAGGGGTTGGAATTTTAAAAGGAGAGCCATGCAAGACTTCATTGGGAAGGTGACATTGACCAAAGACTCAAAAGAGATGAAGCAAGCCACAAGCTTCTATAGGAGCAGAGTATTCAAGACAGAGGACACATTGCATGCAAAAGTGTACCAGTTAGGACCTCACGTGGGCCTCAGTTATCTGATAAAGTCAGCCTTATTTCCTTAAGCACATTTTTAAGCCATGTAGGCAAACTTGTCTTTGGTAAATGAAAGGTCTAGTGTGGATTTCAGGCATAGCTAGATCCAGGTGTCCAAATGGTAACACGAGTATTCTATCATTACTGCTTTCTTGGGGGCTTCATTCTCAAGGAAGGATGCTTTTTTTTTTTTCCTGCTTGTTTCAGCAGATGTTACAGGCTTGAGTCTTATTGCAGTGGCATGGGTTGTATGACCATCCCTGGCCCCGTGGCTATTGCAGAGGAATAAAATGGTCTGATTGGTCAGTCTCCATTGGTGGAGCCAATGTGTGAGGCCATCAGTCCCTTTTGGATGATGTAAACTGAGATGAGGAGATGAGACTTTCCTTAAGGAAAGTGAGGGTGCTGCTGTGAGAAGGGATGTGAGGCTAGGCAGGTGAAGACCACAGCTCGCTGACCATGTCTCCCTGACGACCACTCCACGACCGTAGACAGGTTGCTTTTTTCTCTTAACCTTTGGAGTTCTTCCTTTAAGATGTGAAGACAGTACTAGTATCTTTTGTTTCAGAAAAATATGTTAAGGCCTGTCATGGTGGCACAACAGCAATGCAACCCGCTGTGATGCTGAAGCCACGTAGGGAGGTTCTTGGTTCAGGAACCGAGGTCTCCCTGTACTTGCTGAGTGTGTGTATGCCCGTGATCCAGGCTAGCTGAGGCTGGGGTGAAGAGCTGCACACAGACCCTGTCAGGGTGTCTGTCTCTCTGTCTCTTTATTTTTCATGGGAGAAATAGAGTAAAAAATATTTTAAGAGGAAATGCTTTAAATATTTTTTTCGTAAAAAAGGCTTTCTAAAACAAAGCCAAAACTCACTCTCCTTCTTCTACAGTTGTATTTTTTTTTTTTAGAGAGATTTTTGCTATAGGCCACATGTGCTCACCTGAGAGACAGAGAGAGAAAGTGAGAAATCACCCCCCAGGGTTGATGGCCACACTGCAATCCCTTCTCTCCCATTCTCATCTCAGGATCTTAGGCATGCACGCACATGTGCCCTGTGTGAGTTTCAAGTCACTGGGTCTGGGACTCAAGCCAGGGTCGACTACATGGGAGTCCAGTGATGTAACCATTATGCCATCTGCTGGTCCCCCCCTCTTGTATCTTTAAGCCAATTCCCGCCTCTGCCAGGTACCCCTTCGGGCTCTGGTTCTCTATGGGTGGGTAGGTGTATTATTTAAATCCAGCTGTTCCCTCTGTCTCAACTCTTGTTCTTTCTGTTGCCAGGAGGCCCAGAAGATTAACAATGGCTCAAGCCAGGCGGATGGCACTCTCAAGCCAGTGGACGAAAAAGAGGAGGCGGTGGCAGCCGAGGTCGGCTGGATGACCTCTGTGAAAGACTGGGCAGGGGTGATGATATCCGCCCAGACGCTGACTGGCAGAGTCCTGGTGAGTCCCCACGCCCCTCCTCACATGAGGAGGGCTTGATGTCGGGCTGCTTTCGCTTTGTTTATGACGTGTGATGTTCTCCTGGGTCTTCTCCAGCCTGCTGACTAGGGGAGGTGGAGTATGCACCAGTGCTTCTTCTTGGTCCTGGGGGAAAGGCTGGGTGCTTTGCACACAGCTAAGCTAGTGGTTTGTGAAGGGATTTGCAGAGTGGAACAGCATCCTGGACTGAGAGGGTCTGTTGGGAGGATGTGGTGCTGTTTCAGTGCCAGCAGATAGGTGTACACACACACACACACACACACACAACCATCTTGGAAAGGAGGTGGGGGGGGTGTCCAGGAAATGTATCAGAAATCTGTGGTGTGTTCACAAATAACAGATCTGAGCTCATAAATGCTAGGATCCAGGGAGTTCTGCATGTGTGTGTCTGTGTGAGAGAGAGAAAGAGAGAGGGTTCATTGGCCTTCTGGGGATGTCACTGTGGCCTTCTGGCAAGTAGGCAGAGAGCCCCCCTTGGGCAGTGTCCTAGTCTCCTGCAGCATGGGCTAGATCTTGCCTGTGGTACAGAGCCTTGGTCATGCTGATGGTGACACTCCTGGCCCTGGCCCTTGCTAGGAGCATTGCCCTTATTTCTGAGGAGGTATTCTCCTAGGCCCATCTGAACCAGGACTTGCGTTGTTCCTCCTCTGTGAACTACCTGCTTCTCTGTTATCTTCTTGTATGAAACATGGTGTTGCTGACTGGCCTGTGAGCTCTGGGTTTTGATGAATATTATAAGTGGGGCTGGCCTCTTACTACCAACCAGTTTGCCTGGGACTGGGGAGTGTCTGGGGCATGAGTCTTTCAGTGCAAAGACTGGGAAAGTCCTGGATAGACAGGGAGGAGAAGATCACTGTAGCCAGGTCTGTGCTTCTGCCTCTCCACGCTAGTCTTGACTGCTGGCTTCCTCGGGTCTGCTCTGGGTCAGAAGTTTCCCTGAGAAGGAGGTTGCATTCCAAATGATTCTGGAAGCTGTTTTGTATGGGCTGCCCTTCCTGGGCCAAATGTGGGGGCTTGGTCAGCAGTCCTTTGACTCACAGATAGAATGAAAAGGGACATCTTCATGGCTGGGTACATCAAAGAATCCCTGGAAGATAGATGTCATTAACCCTACTTTCCATAATAAAGACTCAGTGAGGAGGTGATTGTGAGGAGGGAGATGGTTTCACTTATCACAGCCCTTTTGAAGAACTCAGTGGTATGTATGAGATAATTATTTCACAAACTGCTTGTGAGAAGAAGTAAGCCATTGAGTTTTGTGCTTGAGTAATTAAGCACTGACATGGCCTTGTCCACTGAGGGCCTGTCATGAGCCGGGTCTTCTGAAGGGTCTGTCTATGAAGGCATGGCTGGTGTCAACTGATGGCAAAATAGAGAGGGGGAGAAATTGAAAGTTAGGGTCTCAGAGGGGGTGAGAGAAACTGGTGAGGTCAGTTGTTGCATGGAGGAAGACAGAGGGTGGCAGTCTCTTAGACGGTCTATTGAGGACTCAAAGGTGGCTTGCTGGTAGCTTTGCTGTGCACACAGTCATCCTTCTGCCCTCCAGACTCTTCAGTAAAGTCTCCATTGCTTTTTCGTGCTCACACGGGTGACTTCTGCGTTGGAAACTTTCAAGGGTGAGTTCTGGGTCTCGCTCTTCATGTGGGACAGAGTAGAGGCAGTGCCTTCTAGGCATGGTGGTGATGGTGGGGGAAGAACAGCAGACAGTTCAGTGGCCCAGATGTGTCACTTGCTCTTTCCACATGGTCATTATCTTTGATACTTAGAGTCCAATTATCTTCGTCAGTATCAGCGAAGCATTACCAAGTACAAAGTCCTCTTTTTCCCAACTCTGTGAAAAACGTATAGTGATCCAGATTCTATTTTACTATGTGTAGAAAGTATTGAAGGAAGGTATGGAGGTTAGACACTGTGACCACAAGCAATGTGTATTACAAGGGGTCTTCAGCTATTTCATGACAATTATGTCATATGAAACAATTACGCATGGATTCCAATATTTTTGGGGGGGTACCAGAATAAACTTGTACTTTGTTTTTCAGTGAAGTTTCTGAAGTCCCCTCATATATGTGTGGGATAAAGGGGAAGTGCAGGGGAAGGTAGAGGGCATTAAAATACCCTTCTTAGGGCTTCACAGGGAGGGAAAACTTGGAACTGAAACTTCCATTTCAAGATTAACTCAGTACATGAATTATGGTGGAGAATATATAAAAAATAAAAGCACACTAAGCTTTAATATAAGACAAGGGCTGCTTGGTGGGCCAAAAGCTGTGGAGGAATATATATGTGTGGGATAAAGGGGCAGTGCAGGGGAAGGTAGAGGGCATTAAAATACCCTTCTTAGGGCTTCCAGGGAGGGAAAACTTGGAACTGAAACGTCCATTTCAAGATTAACTCAGTACATGCTTTATGGTGGAGAATATATAAAAAATAAAAGCACACTAAGCTTTAATATAAGACAAGGGCTGCTTGGTGGGCCAAAAGCTGTGGAGGAATACTTAATAAGACAAAATGCGTTTGAGTTGAGCTTTAACATGTTAGTTGGGACCTTGAAAGTCTAAGGAGAGGAGATCATTCCAGAGTGAAAGACCAGCAGGAGCAGAGGAGCCTGGTATATTGCAGGGGGGTGGGGTGGAGGAGGGCAGGTGGTCACCCAGCGCGGCTCAGGGCTGTGAACTCAAAGGTGCTCGAGAGCAAGAGAGACTGAGAAGGTAGACTGGAGACAGCTCGTCAGGTCTTTCTAGTCCAAGCCAAAGATTCTGGGCTGAAGGATAAAGAGATTTTGAGGGTTGTTGTGAACCATGACAGTTTGATGTGCTGAGAGCAGGGTGGGTAAGTGGAACCCAAATGAGTTAGGCAGGTGCTCGGAGGTCCTAGGAAAAGCTAGAGCAGTGAACTGCTGCCCTAGTGGTAGGATGAGTGAGGATTGCTGCTGTAGTCTTAGTGAGGCAAGGCCTGAACTAACTCCAGGTAGTGGAGTCAGGTAGGTCGATGTGGGTGACATCACGTAAGTGGACCTCATAGGGCCATGTGCACCAATGGCCACCCTGTGCTATTCACAGTTCCATTCACGAGCCTCTAGTAAGCCGGGGACTATGCTAGGTCCTCTGTGGTGATTGGTTTGAAGGGCAAAGATCATGTGGTATTCATCCCTATCTCCTAGAGCACTTGGCATTGTAGGGGTTCAAAGCAAGTTAGTTTTATCCATGAATTCAGTTGTGAATTATACGTTTTATAGTTGTGAAAATCGAGGCACAGGAAAAACGATGTCTTGCCCCAAAATACATAGCTTTAGACAGGCTTGTACCCGCAAGTCTCCAGACTCCCAGTCTAGTGCTCTTTCTGTGTCATGACTTTCCAATCGAAGATAATGTCTTTTCTTTTCTAAGCCACTGCCAGCTGTCGCTTTGGCTGTGACATTTTAACATTACTGTCTCTGAGCCAATGAGGTCCTGAGGCTGCTTGGCCCGAGTCTCTGAACATTTGTGTATAGAAGCACGGTCTGCCCAGGCCTCCTTGCCTGCAACTGCCCAAGGAGCCAGCTGCTCTTTGCAGATCTCCTTGGGGGGAAAATCCTGCCTGGCTGGTGGGGCTGCTCAAGGTAGAACAGGTCCTGCTGCACAGAGAGCAGGTATTGCAGAGCTCCAGGGAGCACCTTGAGACACGTCTCTCCTTTAGGAGAAGTCAGGCCCTTCCTCTGAACAAAGAACAGATTTCACTTGGAGGCTGCAACACACAAGGGAAAGCAGCTCTGCTGTTCAGAACCCAAAGCTGTGTTTGCCAAGAGCTGTCCAAATGTTTCTCCCTGCAGCAGTGGGACCAAAGCAAGACTAGACGCCCGGCTGTTCAGTTTCCCTTTTCAATTTTTAATTTGTTTTCCTTGACGCACACTCAGAAGCTTGGTCTTCACTTCTGGGCCCCTTTCTCACCCGTTTAATTGTCATAGGTGAGAATCTCAAAGCTGGGACATCGTGGGCGAGGCCCACCTGGGAAAGATTTTGCTAAGACAGTCTCAGAATATCTGTAGGATCTGGGAGAGGAGTGCATCATTCATTCAATCAATGCTATTTCTCACTTTCTAGGCACAGAGCATAAAGCAGTGGGCAACAGAAGTGTAGGATGTGAATTATTTATGTTGATAAACTATTGCATCATCAGAAAAGTCGTGACGTATTTTTCTATGTGTTTCTATGTAAAAATGCGTTATGACTTTTTTGATGACCCAATAGATAAAATGTTGTAGAGTTCAGTTTAAAAAATGTTGGACAGTCACCATTCACCAGTGTTTTTTATACTTAACACCAGGATCTCATCAGCAAAGTGATAAAAATGCCTCGACCTCATGGCTCCAGGTCTTGGAAGGGCCTGTCCTTGCTCTCTCACCTGGCCCTCAGGCTGAGCTGCACAAGAGCAGAATGACTGGATGGAGCCTTTGCTTGCAGCCTATTGCTGAGGGATTCTACATCACAGTGAACTCCAAGATGTCGGGTTACTGCTGCCTGTGTCTTTTTTTTTTTTCCCCTTAAATATTTTCTTATTATAAAAGTAGTGCATGTTTGCTTTTTTTTTTTTTAAGTTTTGGAACACACTAGAAGAATTGCTGATAAATTCCACTCTAGGATTTGGAGTTGGCCCACATTGAGAGGAATTCCAGTGTAACAGTACATGGCATCAGGATTTCTTCCAACTGTTCAGGCATTGTTGAGGACCTTGCTTACTGCCTTGCATGTTATCCTCCTCATGCACTCTCGGGATAAACAGGTTTTTGCTCCAGGGATGATTGTGGCCCTCCTGGTGAACATCCAGTGAACACTCTAAAGTGGGAAAGGGATCGTGTCTCTCTTTCTGTGGTGGCTGCTTGATGTCAAGTTGCTGGCCCATGGAAATTGCAGAGCATCTCAAGGTTTGCATTGTGTGCTTTCATATCCCTCTCACTTCCTCTCCTCCGATCTTTTCTTATT